TTGGTGCCTTATTGCTGTGCCCTCCAGAGAAGAGGAATTCACTGGGCAGGAGAGAAGAGAACCCACTCCAAGATCTTTTGATAGTGGCAATAACCATTTCATGAGGGCTCTGCCTGAACCCTAAACACCTCCCAATTCTGTTGCATTGGGGATTGAGTTTTTTTTTTTTTTTTTAAGATAAACAGCATAGCTTTAGTCTATGTGTTTATGACATAAATATATAAATTTCTTTTTTTTAGGATAATTACTATACTTATCACACAATGTAATCATTTTTGTGGCCCTTTACCAATTTCTCACTACCTTCCTCCCCTTTCCATCTCTGGTGGACTCAGTTCCATTCTCTCCTTTTTGAAAGTTCAACAAACAATTGTGATTGATGCATCTTTCCTTCTTTTTTAATTAATTTTTTTTTCAGCTCCACTTACGAGTAAGGACAATGGAGTAAGTTTTTTTCTGTGCCTGGCTTATGTCACTTACCATAATTTTCTCCAAGTTCATCCATGTTCCTGCACATGGCAGAATTTCATTCCTTTTTATGGCAGAGTAGCATTCCATTGTGTATACATACCATATTTTCTTCATCCAGTTGTCCACCAATGGACATTTAGGTTAGTTCCAACTCTTAGCTATTGTAAATAGAGCTGTGATAAACATGGGAGTGCAGATATCCCTTTGACATGATGATTTCCATTCTCTGGGTACAAACCCAGCAGTGGGATTGCTGGATTGTATGGCAGTTCTATCTGTGGTTGTTTGAAGAATTCTCCACATTGCTTGCCATAATGGCTGCACTAATTTACAATCCCACCAACAGTGTAGGAGGGTTCCCCTTTCTCTACATCCTCACCAGCATTTGTTACTGTCTTTTTAATAATGGCCAGTCCTACTGGTATGAGTTGATATCTCAGTGTGGTTTTGATTTGCATTTCCCTGACGCTTAGTGATGTTGAGCATTTCTTCCAAGTACCTGTTGTCTGAGTCCTGTATCTCATTGAGTTTCCTTAAGATTGTTGCTCAGAATTCCTTTTCAGTCCTTTTAAGGGTTTCCTGCCCTATGGGGACTGGTACTTGAGAATTACTGTATTCCTTTGGTGGTGTCATATTTTCTTGGTTTTTCATATTTCTAGTATCTCTATGTTGATGTCTGGTCATCTGGTAGAGTGCTTGCTTCTTCTATTACTCTAGAGTGGGCTTTGAGGAGACTTCCTCTTCTTTTTGGAGTCTCCGCTGTTGACTCTCCTGGTATCAATGCAGTCGAGTAGGTGGCAAGCCACCTGCACAGTGGCTGTGGCTGCTTCTATAGCAGCAAGCCACCCTTGCAGCAGCAGTGGCTGTGATGGACCACCCACGTGAAGTGTTTTTGGCGTGCTCCTGCCTTCTGCCAGGCTAGGGGTGCTGCTCACAGCTCCTGCCTAGGACCCAAGGCATGCTCCTGCCTTCTGCCAGGGGATTAAATTTTCAACACATGAGTTTTAGCGGGGAGAAAAATATTCAAATCAAAGTAAAGTCCTTCATCAGATAAATGATTTGCAAAACTTTCACCCAAGTTTTGGCTTGTCTTTTCATTCTCTTAACAGTGGCTTTCCAAGAGCTGAAGTTTTTAATTTTAATGATGTTCTACTTATCAATCTGTTGGTCACAAAGACTTTTCTCCTTTGTTTCTAGATGTTTTATAGCTTACATTTTATATTTAAGTCTGTTCTTTTTAAAGTTTATTTCTGTCTGGGGTGAAAAGTATGGATCAAAGGATTTCTAAAAAAAAATTTGCACATGAATAATCTATTGTTCCAGCACCATTTGTTGAAAAGACTGTCATTTCTCCATTGAATTGTCTTTGCACTTTCAAAAGTCAGTTGTCCATGAATATGTGGTCTATTTATGTACTATTCTATTGCATTGATCTAGTCATCCGTCTTGACACCAATACCACACTCACTCTCTTGATTTGTGTAGCTTTATAAGCCATAATTAGGTGGTATTAGTTGTTTTGACTATTCTTCATCTTTTGCATTACCTTATAATGACTGTCAATAGCTTGTCAACATCTACAAAAAGCCTCCTGGGATTTTGATTAGGATTGTGTTCAATCTACATAAATCTTTTTGAGGAAAACTGACACCTTAACAATATTGGGTCATCTGGTCCATGAAAACTATATATATCTCTGTTGACTTAGGTATTAATTTGGGGGGTTTTTTTGTTTTTAGTGTACAGGTCTTTTACACTTTTGCTAGATTTATCCTTAAGTACTTTCATATTTTGAGGTATGACCACACTGGTTTTAGCTCTCTCCTACTGTTGGTTTCAGATTCTGAGCAGATAAGGTGCTTTCTCATCAATACAATTATTACAAAGTAGCAAGCAAAATTACTCAGGATATAGAGAAAGATGCTAAAATTTTACCTTATGCTTTTGGTCTCTCCCTCCTCGTTGCCAATTATATAGCCCCCCTCAAGAATGAAAGCCACACTTTTCCTGGCCATGTTCTCCCAGTGAGTTCACCTATCTTTTTTTTTTTTCCCCTGAGATGAAAGGAATTTTATGTGGCAAATAGCCAAGAAAGCCTGGCCTGAAAGACAGGATTTTCCCAAGGGTCCCCTACACTCAACGATGGTGACTGAATTAAAGTATGTAACAGTATAGCCAGGGAGAAAGTGATGGAACTTTTTGAAAATGACCATTCACTAAGCTAAGCAACAAAAATGGAGGAAATAGTAAAGTTTCAAAAAATAAAAGAAAAAATTCCCTAGTAATTAAAATGTACACTTAAAGATATTGAATATCAAATGTTTAAATAGTAAAACCCTCAATTGCAGCCAAAATGATATAAAGGTGTTACAAGAAAGGTCATGACTTTTGTATTTCTGCTAAATACATCTGAATTTTCTTCTAAAAGTCTATTCGAGTATTCATTCTTTCATTTGTGTAATATTTAATGAATACCTATTTTGTATAAGGGCCTTTTCTGGGCATTTGTCACAAAGGGTTGAACAAAACAGACGAAGCCCCTGTCTTCATGGTGAAGCCAGCAGAGAATGCTGGTCAAATTCATTGACAATCACAACTGGTACCTGAATCTCGTTCTGTGAGATGGATTTAGTTATTTCAATAAATCCTATTACCTTCACAAAATACCAAGACAAAGGATATCTTTATGAAATAGGATGGACGGACTTAAATGGTCAAGATTCTGATGTCTATAGTAGACAAAACTAGGTAATCATCCTCAACAAAAAAGTAATGGATAGACATTAATACAATGAACACTTGGTCAGCTCTCATGCACAACATGTGAACCCTTGGTTACTTGAATTGTTACCTAAGGGAAATCCATCCAGAATGGCTTAAATTTTAAAGAGTGAGATTGGAAAAAGTCTCCAAAAGTTTTCCCATGGAATTTATAGTTTATAAAGATGCAACTGGCCAGAGATGTCTTTAACTATACATCCAAGTAAAGTATTTTTTAAATGCTACAGACACACTTGTTCTCTAAAATATACTTATTTTTTTAGGGCTTACTGTAGTGATCCCTATCACTCAGTTCAGTATAAGAAACAAAACCTCTCTAGGCATTTCAGGAGAAAGATATAATTCAGAGAAACAGATAATTATAAAATCTTTGGAAGGGCTGTAAAAATGGAAGTCAGGAGGCTATCACAGAATTTGGCTTCAAGGTCACACCACCTCAGGTCAGGAGCTGCCGTTGCTACTGATACTCACTGCTAACACTGTCACGGCCGCCGTGCACCAACAAAGCCAGCGTATACACAGTGGAACAGCAGTCCACCTGCTGGCAGCATCACATCCGCTGATGCCTCCTCTTCCACTGCCTGCAGCCCCACCAGCACCACAGAAAGATGGCCATCTGCTTCCCTGTCACATTCCACATCTCTTGCAAACGCAGTGCATCCGTTTGGCAGAATGTAATTCACATACAGAGCCCTAGCTGTCAAGGGGTCCTGGGAAATGTAGCTTTTACATCTCCAACCTCTGAATAGGAGGAGGTTGAAAGGGAGGTTGATTGCCAATCCAATTATTCAAGCTCAGATAAAAATTGATTTTGAGCCAATATTCACTGTCCCCCCTCCTCCACCTGAAACAAAACTCAGGAATATTATGCTATATTGACATAGATAAATGATCTTTTTTACAAACATATCAAAGTGTCTTTGAATTGAACATGAGCTAGGAAAATGGTCAAGTGAGATATATTTAAGATGCATTGTTACTTTCCACATAGAACAGTATTAGCTACTGTTGCCCTGACTACATTAGCAGTCTTGCTGTGTGTATCCTTCATAAAATCTAGATTTGACTTTTAACATGACTTTAAACTAGTCCCATTGTCCTCATTAATGTCAGCCCTCAGTCCACCCTTACCTTCAGTCCTTCCTTAATACCCTCTTACCCCTTCCACTACTTTTAATTCACTAGGCTTGAATCAGTAAGGAATGTGTTTGACTGTGAGGAACAGACTTTACCTTAGTACCTTAAACACGCAAAATATTAGTTTTTCTCATATCAGAAGATGTTCAGATTTAGACAGTTTCTGATAATTAAGGTTAAGAATTTTAGGGACAAGGTTTCTGCTCTTCTTGGACTTTTCCCTGATGGTCTGAAGAACAGGTGCTGAAGCTCTGTCATGCCTGTGTTCCAGGAAGGAAGAACAAAGAAAAAAGGGTCCCTGCTAGTTGAAAAGATTCCCTTAAACTTCTTCAGACATGTCTCCCAATGACTTTCACATACCATTGCTACCTGTCCCTACATTCAAGAGAGGTTAGGAAATGTGTGTTTTTAACCAGGCACAATGCCACTCCTACCATACAGTGGATCTGCAGCTAAAGAAGGGGAGAATAGAGATTAGACAATTACAGTCTTAAAAAATACTTCTAAGCTAAAGGGTCTCCCTTCAGGCCAAATCATGCAAATATTTGTGTCAGACACACAGCCTAATCTATATCACCTTATGTGCAATGACAGCAATTCTAAAAGACCAGTTAAATCAAATAGTGAACAAAACTTTAATGTTAATTTTTGAGTTACTAATCTTATTTTTGAAAATATTTCCAAAAAAGAGATAGAGTATGTCTTAGGGTCAGCCAAACCCTCTGTTGTTGTTGATGGCTACTTGAAGCGCTTCTTCCACTCTTTCCATTGTAGAATATTTAGGGAGGTAGAGAACACTAACACATGTCTGTGCTCTTAGAGGATCTTTTTCACTCAAATATTCAGGACAGCGAAACGTTATTTGCATATTCTTTAATCCTTTCATGTGTATTCTGTCAGTTCCTGTAAGAAACACTAAAAAGAAGAAGAAAATTGGGTGACCTATTTCACACAGGGAACAAAATCTCTTACAAAGAGAAAATAGGTTTATTCAGAAACTTTATCGCAGGCCCACATGCAGAGTCCCACATTAGACAGTGCACTGAGATCATATATTAGGACAAAGTATGACACACAGTCACTGTCCTCAAGCAGCTTAAAGTCTAGTTGGGAATATTAGACTCTTGTGCAGAAAAAGACAAATAGCAAGAGAAAATTCTTAAGGTATAAGATAGCTAAAGAAGTTATCACAGAGTTAAGTGTCTCCTGAGTGTAAATGCTGTGATTTAGAGCAAGGAGAAAAAGCCAGGCTGGGATGACTGGGAAGACTTCCAAGGGTTCAGAATTATGCCAGACCCTTAAGGAGGGAAAGGTCTGGAGAGGCAACAAGGAGGGGGGTGAGGTTCAAAGCAGGGAAGGAGCTTTAGAGAAAGCCAGGAGGTAGAAAGGTGAGCTGAGGAGTGTACAGATGATGGAACTGTTTGGCTGGAACAAAGATTTCCCCTAAGAGTAAGGATTGTAAAGGTAGGTTGGGCTTCTATATAAGTCTGAATATCTTCTGACACATATGTGTTATCCACAAAAATAAAAATAAGATAAATCTTTCTCAAAAATAAGTAAAATAGATTAAGAAAATGAGAAAATCATTAAGCCAGTCTCAGGAAAACCACCAGATAAGCATAAAACTGGGGATCAAAATCTGGAAGGTGAGGTAAAACAGACTTTGAGACACAGTAAAATAGCTTGTGCATAACAGTAAATATAGTAATAATATAGCAATAATAAAAATTAGTCAGATAAAATATCTTGGCTAATTCTAACAGAGCAGGATAACTGAATCATGACAGGGACTACAGAAAGAGGGTTCAATATTTAGCTTGGATGAAGAAAAAAAAATTAAAAGCAATAAAGAAGGGACGAAACCAAAGGGAAAAATATCACCTATATTAACATTTATCTTTCGATGTTGGGACATAGGAGACACTCAACTAGTCTAGTAGTGGCTCTAACACGTAATATGATTTGTTGTAAATGGTACCCATCACAACAAGATTTTTATCCCATTAAAAAGATATAACATTATAGATTGATTCCTTGATAATACTTACCAAGGAATTTTTTCTTTTCCTCCAGAGTCAATTTGTGTAAAGCCTTCCAAAACATCACTATGGTGGGATGTGAATTACTGTATTCTTGACCATAATGTGCATTCTAGAGAAAATGTAAAAAAAAAAGAAGAAAAAAGAAAAAAATTATTCAGGAAATAGGAAGGAAAATTGAATTCAATCAACTTAGCCTTTATGATGTACCTTTTCAAATGTCTCCCAGTCATAATCTGTATTTCCAATAATCACATCCTTCAGTTCTTCAGCATGAAAAAGTTTTATAAGCTCCTTGTCACACACTTTATAAAACCCTCTCTGAAATTCTTCATAAAGCGCCTTTACAGAGATGTTGAAGATGTAATCGACACACTTAGAAACATAGTCTCTCCTTTAATAAAACAGAAAATTACTTTTGCTTACTGCAATACCCTGAACAAAATGGTTGAGGGATAAAAATAAAAGCTAGAACATGGAACAGTTATTGAGTGCTTACGACGTGCCATGGACTGTTATAGTCACTTTTTATATATTATCTACTTTAATGTTCATAACAGTTCTCTGAGGCAGATTCTTGAATATTATGAACATTTTAGTGAAGAAGAAACAGAGACATAGTGAAGTTAAGAGATTGCTCAAGGTCACACAGTTAAGAGAATCAACACTTACCTTAGGACAACAAAAGTTTGGAATAAAACCTGAACTGCTAACAGTGATTAATCTCTGGGGAATAAGCCTGGGAGATGGGGACAATCCCATGTTTTATTTTATGTCTTATGAACTATCTGAATTGCACAGTGAGCAAATAATATTACTAGTGGTTAAATACAAATAAATAGGGGATTTCCACTTCTAGTTAGGATGAAGTAGCTTATAACAAACAGGCTTCTACTGTTAACTAGAAAATCCAGATGAAATACAAAAACATCTGGTTCATGGCTCCCAAATCCGGAGCAAGAACAAGAGGCCAACACTGAAGAGAAGGGAAGCTCACTGAGGTCAGCCCAGCAATTTGCTTGCAGTTTTTCCCTTTGGGACCTTTGTGTATTCTTGATGAAGGGAAAGGAGTAAGACAAAAAGTAACTGTTAAAAGTCAGAGAAACCAGTAAATGTTTCAGCAATTTAATGGGGCTGAGCAGAAAAATTGAGTTTAGGGCTACCAAAGTAGCATTAGGACTTAAAAGGCTGAGGGTTCTGTGAACAGGGAGATATCAGAGAAGGCAGTCCAGCACTCAACAGTTTTCCCCATGAGGGATCTGCTAAATTCTTAAGCTATGCAAGGAAGAGGCAAAGGAGCTAAGCAGAAAGCCACTGAAAAACTAAGCAAAATTTAACAGTCCCATGATGCTGAAAAAAACAAAAACTGGAATTCAGGATCCACCAAGGAAAAGGGGTCCTAATAAATACTGTAGGTTTGACTGATCCTTGTTACTCTAGCTGCCCACCAGAGGAGGATGAATCCTCTCCGGAAGACAGCAGCATCATTCAGAACCTTCATGATGTTGTTATACAAAAAGTCAAACAAATGACCAGATATACTATAAAAGGGGACAAAGAGAAAATTCAGACAAGAGAGACAAGCCTAATGATGACCAAAATACAGGAGACATTAGACATGGGCTTTAATATAAGTGTGATAAATATGTTCAGGACAAAAATAGCAATATAGAAAATGTCATGAGAAAACTGAAGAACGGCTAAACAAACAGATATTCTATATTCATGGATTGACTAAATATTTTAAAATGTCAACTATCCTCAAATTGATCTGAAAATTTTATTCACTCACTATTCGAAATCCCAGCAGGTTTGTGTATATGTATGTGTGAAAACTAGAAACTTGATATTAAAATTTGAATTGAAATGCAAAGGGCCACGGACAGCCAAAACAATGTGAAAGAAGAAGAAAGCTGGAAGACTTAACCAGATTTCAAAACTACCAGTATTTACACATTGAGGTACTGGCACAAGAACAGCCTGATGGAATAGAAAAGAGAATTGGAAACAAGAATACAGTCATTTTTTCAAAAAAGAAAAAATGACACACAAAAGAATGGTCTTTTCAATAAATGATGCTAGATCAAATGGATATTCATACATGAGAAAAAAATGAACCTTGACCCTTATGCCTCACATCTTACTAAAAAATCAATTACAGGTGGAGGACTATAAATCTAAATGTGAGAAGTAAAACAGTTATGTTTCTAGAAGAAAATACAGGAAAAATGCTCATGGTCTTGGAATAAGGAAGGATTTTTTTTAAAATAGCATATAAAAAAACCCACACTAACTATTAAGGAAAATGTTGATAAAGTGGTATATTGCAATTACAAATTTTGGTTCATCAAAAGACACATTAAAAGAGTGAAAAGGCAAGCCAAAGTATAGGAGAAAATATCTGCAGTACATACATATATGCAACAGAGGACTTGTATCTAGAACTCTCATAAACCAATAAGAAAAAGAACCCAATAGAAAAACAAACTAAAGATGAGTATTTCTCAAAAAAGGAAATCCAAATGGCCAATAAGTATATAAGGTGCTCAACATTAGTCATCAGAGAAGTGCAAATTAAAACCACAGTGAAATACTACTACATATCATCAGAATGGCTAATTTTAAAAAGACTAACAATACCAAGTATTAGAGAGGATATAGAGCAATTAGAATTCTCACACGCTGCTGATGGAAATGTCTCCATTTTTGATGTTTGCTTGCTGACATTTTCAGGTCCCACTCCTCCCTCCCCTGCCCCCCACATATACATAACTGGATAGGTAAGCCCATAAACTTTCTCCCTTGACACCAGTGGGGAGGTTTAAATCATGCAAGCTCTGGACCACATGGCAAACCTCACCCTGGCCCATGCCTGAACCACCATAAAAACCAAAGCCACCTGCCTCTTCCTTTATTTAAGCCAAACAGACCAGCTTGGGTGCCTGCCCAGCTCTCCCCAGAAATCCTCATTATGTGAGTAATAAGTATTTTCATACTCTGGTATACATGTGGCATCATCAATACCAACATTCAAACCAATTTGGGGTGGGAAGATTGACCCTTCTCTGTATGGGGCAACAAGATACCCAGCAATTCTTCTCCCAGTGATAAGCCAACAGAAATCCCTGCACATAAACAACAAAAAACATGTGCAAGAATGTTCACAGGAGCATTATTCATAATATCTCAAGATTTAAAACACATTATGTCCAGCAATAATTCTATAGCTAAATAAACTGATATATTCATACAATATACAACTATATAGCTGGATATGTTCTATTTTTGATCTAATTACACAGGTGAATTTACTTTGGGAAATTTATTGAGCTGTACACGATTTGTGCAATTTTCTACATGTATGTTATACTTCAATACAGACTTTAAAAAAAAAAAAATTAAGAAAACAAAATAAAAGATTTGGCATAGGCCAGAATGCTCACTAGAGATCTCTTTCCACTTTGACAAATTATCAAGGGAATGTCCTATAATCCCAAGATCTATGGCTTTAAATGGCACCCCATAACAGTGTTAAGAAGTTAAGATACCACAGCAAGCTCTTCAACAAATACCATGTGCCTGCCATGTACAAGGCACCACTGTAGACTACTCTAGGTACTGGATATATAGTGGTAAAGAATGCAGACCAAGTGTCTGTCATATAGCTTTCATTAAAGTGGAGGAAACATAGGAAAATAAATAAGCAAATAAGTCCTAAAGGTAGGTAACATGAGATATGAAAAGAAAAATCATAGCAGAGTAAGGGGATAAAGAGGGATAGAGGGTAGTTGTATAATTTTAGACAAGACAAGAAGGGAAGGACTCTCTGAGAAAGCCATTTCCATTCCTTACCACAAAATAATCTCCATGATGGGTATGTCTATATGCATACACACAACACACGCCAATTTCTCTGCCTAACTGAAAAATGACTAATGAGAATGAAAAATTATAAGAACTAAAAGGAATCTGTAAGTCCAGTAAATAAATATAGTGTACATACAAACCAAAAATTTCATCTCTTTGTACCTACTTGTTAGTCTGGTCGACAATAATGCAACTTCCATTGGGAATTAAGTCTACATCATTTCTGTCCCAATGCACCTGTAATCACAAAGGAACCAAAATAATTCTGAACAATCTATCATCAACAAAAACACTTTGGAGCATACCCTTTTCCTAAAGAATTTGTAAAAATGTACATTTTTGTCACAAAAACTAGCAAGAAATGTACAAACAAAAAATTACCACCCTATCATGCAGAACAAAAAATGAATTTTTTTCAAAACTTGAATTATCTTAACTGATCATATTAAACAAATTAATTGAAAAATTGCCACATCTCGGTATTCACTTTATACAGTGTGGACCCAGTGTGACAGATCTGCAAAAATGGCCACACTTTCCTCCCATCCTGGTTCTCACAGCCCTTTGCAATGTGACTTTGTAACACCTCCCATAAAACGGGCAATACATATCTCCAGTCCTTGAGTCTGGGCATGGCCACGTGAAATGCTCTGGCCAATGGGATCTGACAGAGAAAGCTGAAAAGAAGCTTGCATGTTGGAGCTTGCCATCTGTTCCTACTCTCTGTAACCCTAAGACCATCATGTGGAGAAACCTCAGCTAACCTACTTATTGGAGGATGAGAGATCATGTGGAACAGAGACAAGCTGTTTCAGCTGACATCCCATAAACCAACAAGCCTGTCAATGACCAGGTATTTGAGTAAGGTCCATGTAGACCATCCAGCCCAGCCAAATTGGCCCAGTCACAAACCTACAGGATCATGTTTGTTGTTTTAAGCCACTAAGTTTTGGGGTTGGTTGTTAGTAAAATCTAACTGATACGCTCAATTCATTTTTCACTAGCCTGACTCAGAAGATTTTTTAGGAAAAAAAAGTAAAGAGTGACATGTTTAGGTAATTATGTAGAGGATTAATCAGATTAAGGCTGATCTGTTACCTGGTTTTTATTGTTACTCACATTAAAATGGATATAAAATACTTCTACAAAGTCTTCATCTTCATCATCCAGAAGTGTTTGCAAATTCCTAAAGAACAAATAATTTTGTTTTTAAAGGGCAATAATCATGATCACTATATACACCATCTAAAATAAATGTCAAGTACACAGCTATTCTGAAGGTAGGAGGTCAGTTCACAGCACCTATTTTTCTGAGTAATGATAGTCTAAACAGGGTCAGACCACAACTCAAAGTGTGAGGTTTAGAAAACGTATCTGCAATTCTGCAGGCTCCCCTACTGATTCACAGCTCTTTTCTCTCAACCCTAATTTCCTTTAGCCAGTGACTGTAGGTTTCTCTTCAGAAAATGATTTGATAATGTTTATTGATACTGAAACTCATTCAAACTGGTGTTACCTTTATTTAAGCTTTTGAACTTTACTTACAGAACAAATAATAAGTCTCCTATTAAATGTCAGGTATCACTTAGAAAATTTGAGGAGCAGGTAGTCAAAGGACCTTCTCTGTACCTCTTGTCCCAATATCATTAAGCTTAAGAAAGACCCGAAATTTGACTACCTTAATTGTTTCAAGGCATCTGTAAAAATAGAGGTTATGTCAAAATAGAGTACTTAGTAGCCAACTTTTTTATATTTCCATCCTGGTATCCTATGATGCTTTACACATTCTTTTAAAGTAACATGTCTTATATTTTATTGTTTGCTCATTCACTCATTTATTTAGTCAACAAACATTTGTGGCAGTCATAGGAGAGGTAAAGTTGAGACTGAGACATTGCTGCCAATAAACCCTGAGACTAGTGGGTGGAATATGCTGAGCAAAGTCTCACCTATCGTACAGTGAGATATGTGCAGCCAGAAAAGTAAATGATACAGGTGTAGCTTGAAAGAATTTGGTTAACTCTTTTGGAAGGAATACATGTCACTAGGAAAGCTCTCTGGGAGAAAGTGGAATCTAAGTTGACTTTTTTTCCCCATTGGATTTTTTATTACTGTATTGTGATATTTGTGATATAACAGACCATGTTTTCTTCACTGTACTACTGTCGAACATGAAAATATTATTGGAGAGTATGTGTTTAAATTTTATCTAAATATTATATAGGATCCTGAAAAAGAAACTCTGCTTACTTACTTTCCCAAAACAGGACTGAGTTCTTTTAAGTCTTCCAATGATGGCATTTGGTCCAAAAGTTTCTTAAACAGCGCCAGTGGGAAGGGGATGTTGGCAACATTGCAATTAAATAGAGAAAGTCCACAGAGAACCCCAAAGAAGAAGTATCTCTTCTCCTCAAATTTAGGCTGAAAAAAGAAAAAAATCCTAAAAGTATTATAAATTTGTATTAGTACAATAGAGTATTTATATTAGGTAAACCTTTTTCTTCTTTCACAAAATCAAATCACAAGTTAAGGCCAAGAAAGCCAAAGATATGAATAGTCAGTTGGTTAGAGCACAGTGTTGTAACACCAAGGTCAAGGGTTCAGATCCCCGAATTGGCCAGCTGCCCCCCCCCCCAAAAAAAAAAGAAAGAAAGAAAGAAAGAAAATTTAGAGTTTATATTTGGTCATTAAGTCAATCTAAATCCCTGCCATAGTTTTGGTTACTAAAAGCACAACAGGAATAGAAATACATTAGGTTCAGTAATCCTTACAAACTACAGTTTTCATAATGTCTTTCCATAATGGCCTTTGTCTTCAAGTTAATCAGGAAAAATAGAACTGAAACAAAGAATGAGTGCCTGGAAAAGGAAGGGTTCATTTTTATCCAGATACTCTATAAATCATCAAAAAATATACTGCTTGAGTTCTCCTGTGAACAGACATGGGAACCCAGGGAAATGGGACTATACTTTAAACAATCACCTTATTAGAATTGAAGATAATCTCCATAATTACATCAATAACTCCTCTCTTAATATGAAACAGTCTAGACAGCCTAATTTTCTATGGTATATGATATACTTTTTCTGTCACAAAATACCATAAGCAAAGAAAAGGGAACTTACCCTGACAGGAAACCACATGTAGGAAGCCTCTTCGGGATATGTGAACATCCCATATTCTGGCCGGGTCATCTCTTCAAACAGACAGCAGAAGAACTCTGTTCTGACTCCTCCCAAATCATAACCAATTTCTCCACTAAATGAAACCTGAGGAAACAGAGCAAACAATGCATTACTTCCAGGGCTCTATATTGCTATGTATACAGTCTCACTTAATAATAGTAATAGCTAACATTAATTGTGGGCCCAAGTATTTGGTAGGCATTGTGGTGAGCCTCTTACTCGTATTATCATATTTAATATCCCCATTAATTCTGTGAGGCTATTGAGGCCTTGAGAACTTAAATAACTTTCCCAAGTTAACACAACAGCTAGGTAGTACAGTCTAGATTTAATCCTATGTATGTCTGTCAAACTGCACAGTCACTGAATTGAACTCAACTGGCATCCCTTTTGTAGTCAATGGGTCCATTAAGTATAATAACAACAAAAAAATCATAAATGTTAGGATTTTTAAAAAACTGGAAATGGGCCGGCCCGGTGGCGCACTGCTACAGTGCACCGCTTGGGAGCACGGCGGCGCCCCCGCCGAGGGTTCGGATCCTACATACAGACCGGTTCCCGCTCGCTGGCTGAGCGAGGTGCGGGCGCGGCACCGAGGTTTGCGATCCCGTTGCCAGTCCCCGGTCCGGTACGGGTGCAACACTGAGGGTTGCGATCCGTTGCCGGACACGAAAAAAGACAAAAAAAAGGGAAAAAAAAAACCCCAAAAAACTGGAAAAACCAGAGCATGCATAAGGTTTATGTTGACTTGGCTGTTTGCTCCTTAAGGAGGTAGCATCCTCACTGTTAACACCAACCCTTCTCCAAGATGCTTCCATCATATTCCATCTTTGCTTCTTCAGTTACCCCCGCCCCCATTCCTGCCCTTCCTTCTTGGAATCCTTCATTGTAGTTTACAAATGTGTTAAGGTCTCCCTTATCCTTAAAAGAAAAAAAAAAACACCCCAATACATTGAGTCCAATACAGACACTAGTGGTTGCTTCCAGTCTAGGTTGCCACACTTCAGAGAATATACACCAACTTCCAAAGCCATTCTCTACTTAAACGGTTTTCTCTCCAAGAGGACCAAGAACCTGGGAATCCCCAATTCCAAGGTCGTTTCCTCAAATTTCACCTCCTTGATTTTGCTAACTCAGTTTATACTTCTGACCACCTTTTTCTTGACGCTGTTTTTTCCCTGACACTGTTTTTTCTTTCTTTCTTTCTCTTAGGAAGCACTCTAAGGGTTTTTCTTTCTCTGTCTCTTCATTTTCCTGATGGCTTAATACCAGAATTTCCTGCGGTTCTATCCTGGCACTTCTGTCCTTTCTCTCTGCTCTTTCCCTGGATGCTCATTTTCTTTAAACTTCAATTTGTCACTTGTAGGCATTTAACCTTCAGATCCCGTATTTTCTCTCCGAGTTGACAGACACACATTTCCAAAGGCCTACTCAACAGTTCCAGATGTTCTGACAGCACCCCCAAAAGCTCCTCTTACTGGCTTCTTTATTTAGATGGATGCCCTTTCCATTCCCCAGAGAGAAAAGTTTCAAACCTCACTAAAACATTTCAAATCTCTGTAATAAAACCTAGTGTCAAACCCTCACTCTTCCCCTTACTATGGGCAAGTGCTTGATCTCAGAGCCTCAGTTTTCCCATGAGATTATCAGAAAGATTAAAATGGATAACACATGTAACACGCCTCACACAGAGTCTGGAAAAAGGTAAATGTTCACTGAACATTACCTGAATTTTAAAAAATGGACTAATCATATATAAAAGTGGAACTAAAATAAATGAGTGGACTGCATGGCTGGCACAGGTTAGAATCATGTAATGTGTTTATTAGAGTTATAAAATCATCTGTGTGCAAAAATATGTGGAAATGCCAAGTGCAACGTTCTTTACAAACAGTACCTTGAGCTTTAGTAAAGTCAATCTTTCTTTAATCTAAGTGATAAATGAGGGTTTCCCATAAAAAAACATTCTATTTAATCAAAATTATCAGACCAATCTTTATCTGTCTTAAGGAGAAAGCCTAGTGCCTGATGGTTGGGCCCAACTCCTGATACTGACTTATCAGACTTGTGTTACCCTTGGATAAGTCACCTAATACTGTGTACCTCAGTTTCCACAACCATAAAATGAGGGAAAAAGAGAACCTACCACATGGTATTGTTGAAAGGCTTAAACAAATAAGCGTAAAGCACTCACAACAGTTCTTGGCACAAGGAAAGCACTGAATACATCTAATAGTTGTTATTATTCTGTGTCAAATATCTACTAGTGAGACAAGTTTCATAGTAATTAAACCAAAAAACATTTTTTTTGACCAGTAAGGGGATCACAACCCTTGGCATGGTGTGGTCTGCACCACACTCAGCCAGTGAGCGCACCGGCCATCCCTATATAGGATCCGAACCCGCGACTTTGGTGCTATCAGCGCCGCACTTTCCCGAGTGAGCCACAGGGCCGGCCTGCAAAATTATTTATGAATGTTCAGAACATGGTTAAAACTATAATATACCCCCAAATGACTCTGTAGTCTATAAAGTCCCCTCTTCCACATTTTCGTTCTTACATGAGAGCAGAAACCACCCCTTAATTCTCCTCTATGCCAATCCTATCTCACTGAAACCCTTAAAAGGTGGTGACTAGCCAGGCTAGGTCAGACCTCAGAAGGGACTGGACCTTTTATGGCTAATACTGGACTACCCACCTGACCAGGGTGGTAGGAGAACCACCATTTCTCCTGATGCTCCTTAGCTCAAATGTACTAAGTGCCCACAACTACCTGAAACTCAAAGGTAACTAAGGGAATTATGCAAACCCCCAAACAGACAACCTTTGTGGCAAAGGGAGATAATTTCTCCTCAGTGAGACCCTTTGATACATTCTTGTATGTTTTTCTTCTCTCAGCAGCAAAAATATTAGGTAAGAATTATACTTTACCAATAACTCTTTCCTCAGGTCTTCATTCTCAAATGGACTTAGATAATTCAAGACGTCCTCGATCAAGTGATTCCTTCTAACTCTTAGATAAAAGGCAGGCAGCAAAGCTAATTCAGACTCTTCTTGTCCCACAGTTCCTATCAACTTCATATAAGCTCTAATTTTGTTCTCCTAGAAAAACAGAAATGTCTCACTTCATTTTGCCATTTGCCCTGTCTAAGCAGAAATTTATAAAGTGAACAAACCAGTTCCATTTATTCTGTCATGCTTATGGAAAGAGCCTTATATACATCACTGAAAATAAATGAAACATTCAGTATTCACTCTCAGCAAGCAGAAGAAACACAGGACCTAAGGAACGGAATACTTTGTGCAGCCAACCTTGATGAGCAGCTAAGTCACCAGCTGCAGGTTTCATTGGACCCCTTTATCCTATAAACACAATTATTAATACTTAAGTTACCAAAGCTAATTATCTTCAATAGACTAAGAGATTGATTATTATCTACTGAAACAGTGCACTGCAACATAATATTCTCATTCAGGACAGAAGTTCAGATGCTTAGGAAGGAAGAGGCAGGCTGTGGGAAAAATCCAGATATGAGAGACCTCTCCAAAGAGATCTTTTTTTTTTTTTTTTTTTTTGTCTTTTTTGTGACCGGTAAGGGGATCGCAACCCTTGGCTTGGTGTCGTCTGCACCGGCCATCCCTATATAGGATCTGAACCCGTGGCGGGAGCGCTACTGCGCTCCCAAGCGCTGCACTCTCCTGAGTGCACCATGGGGCCAGCCCCAAAGAGATCTTATTCTGGGAGAAAAACCTAGACAAGAGATTTTAAGAGACAGGTAATCTAAGAAGTATGCATAAGGTAATGCAAGAGATTTTAAGAGACAGGTAATGCATAAGAGAGACAGGAAGAGAGAGAAAGGGAAAGATAAGACAGACAGAATGTTAATTCTGAAACCAAATGGCAATTTGGGATCATTAAAGTCTGTGGCTGTTAGCAGAACGAAGAGCAGCAATCAAATAGCAGTTCTTTAAAAGTTATCACTGGAAGTGTCTTTAAAATCAGGAGAGAATAGGTTACAAGAGTTGAAGCAAAACAAAGTTCTTATATCTTTTTTTTCCTTTGTTAAATATTTCATTAATGGCCATACTCAGAACTCATGAATTTCTTTTTTTATTATGGTAAATGTATCATGTGAAAATACCTATTTTTTTTTTCTTTTTTGTGACCGGTAAGGGGATTGTAACCCTTGGCTTGGTGTGGCCCACACCGCGCTCAACCAGTGAGTGCACCAGCCATCCCTATATAGGATCTGAACCCGCGGCAGGAGCGCCACTGCGCTCCCAGCACCGCACTCTCCCGAGTGAGCCATGGGGTGGGCCCTGAAAATACCTATTTTAAGGACATCTTTTAATATGATGCATGCATAAATATACATTTGTCTGCATATGTAAGAGTAAAAGTGATAACAGCTAACACTTTGGGGTACTTACTTGTATGAGGCACTGTTCTAAATGCTTTTATCTATATTAACAAATTTAATCCTTATAAAAATGCAATAAATAATGTAGGAATTATCTGCTGTATTAACCTAGGCATTTTCAGTTGTCCAATTATACAAAGCAGTTCAAAACCACTTTGCTAAATATACTGATGAACAGAACCCCCTCAGCTGGTGACAGTACACTGAAAAGGGGGGACTTTTTATAAACTTTTATTATAGCACCATCACAGAGTATCAACCATTTATGGAGGTCCTAATTTCAAGAATCCTCTGCCACCTCTGCTCCTGCTACTCTTGTTTCATTAGATTGAACCTCCTCAAATATAGTGCTAATCCTAAACAAGCCCAAGTTTGTTACATCTCTTTGAGAACTATCCAGAAGACTATATGCTGCCACTGCCAACTTCAGGCAAAAGCCCTCTAACTAGGCTACTTGCTCAAGCTCTGTCCTTTGCTACCAAGGCCCTAAAATACCTTAAAGCTGAGCCAACCCAAATTATGAGTCTGCCTTGCCTTCTTCATTAGAGTATAAGCTCTTCAAATGCCAAAACCATCACCCCCCAAATATTGCATGCTTAAGAAGGCATTTATCATGTGATTTATGTTAATGAAGACAAAGAAATAGGCATACATACCTGTATTTTTAAAAGTGAGTTTGCATACAGTAGTTTCATTTTTGACAGAATATTAAAGATAAATGGAAAATGACTGAATATGACACGATACTTTAGGTCTGCTGAAGTGTCCTAAAAACAGAAATGACAATAATTCTGATAAATTAAAGAACAGAGAAATCTCACACTGTACCTCACTGCCTTAAATCGCTGGTGGTTTAAGATGCAAGTACTTCCAGTGAAAGCAATCCACATTGCTAATCAGTAATACTAGTAACACATAACATGTTTCATATATTTATATATATAATGAAAGATACATAGTATTTTCAATGCCCATTTAATTTAGTCATTAATTATAAATTTTGGACATGTTCCCAAGAGTTCTGCTGTACTCTGAGTTTCTGCAACGTGAATTAGCTCAGATGCCTTTGTAAACAGGGGAATGATATAAAACATGGATAACTGTTTAGCTCATACATGATTTTTTGCTGGGCAAGGGTTGATGTGCTTGAAGTAATAGAAATATAACCTTCAGAGAAAGGAAAACACCTCAGGTCAGCTACTGCACTGGCAACAGGAGCTCTTTAACTGCATTTTAAGAAAATATAAAAGGAGCACCTACACCCAGGATGCCCTCCCCAAAGCTGTAGCCCTTCACTGCTGGCTCTTGCTCCTGGTGAGTCACGCTGCCTTCTATGGCCTCCTTAAGGGCATCAGAGCTCCACTTGCATCTGTGTTTTCTCAGTACCACCAGTTCTTCTCTAATTAGAGTGCAGATAGATTTCTACCCTTTTCTTTTTGTGCATTTTCCATATTCTCATAGCACTATCCATGAGATGCTTGCCTGGTTGATCCAAGTTATCTCCCCAGGTATTAATCACTTTTCTGTTAGTGCACTGGCTACAAAATAGCGTAGTTTTTAAGGAGTCTTTCCCATAAGGCCTGCTATTTCTATTGTGCAATTTTGCAGAGTAAAAAGCTTTTCAGAAACTCATGTACGAAGTTACAACAGGAATACCTATATTAACTCACTGATTATCTATTTCCCCTTTTAAATTTGCCATACTTACCAAGTTCATTTTGCAAGAGGACCTACTATATGCTTCTTCATAAAAATTGAGCCAGTTTGAGAGTTCATCTACTTTAAAAATATTTTCAGGCAGTTTACATTTGGTCTGGTTTACCTTAAATAAAATATGACTTGTAAGAAGATCATATATTTAATGACTACTTCACCTTACGGTTGTTAATTAGATTATCAGATTAAATAGTAAATTAAACAAACACTTTTTTAATGACAAGAATAAAATTCTATCCAATTCCTCCCCTGCCAAAGCCCCACATTTTCATGGACAGTAAAGAATATCTAATACTTAATAGTAGAGATTGATGATAAGTCAATAAACTTCTAGTTAATTTTAGTTCGTAGTAAAATTTTTTTTTTCCTTTTTGTCTTTTTTCGTGTCCGGCAACGGATCGCAACCCTCAGTGTCGCGCCCGTACCGGGCCGGGGACCGGCAACGGGATCGCAACCCTCGGTTTTGCTCCCACACCTCGCTCAGCCAGTGAGCGGGAACCGGTCTGTATGTGGGATCCAAACCCTCGGCGGGAGCGCCACCGCGCTCCCAAGCGGCGCACTGTAGCAGTGCGCCACCGGGCCGGCCCTGTTCGTAGTAAAATTTTAAAGATCTTTAAATCCCCCCAAAAAACAACCCCTCCCACAAAAACCTAAAAAACAATGCAATATAAATCCAAAGTACTCTTGGGCCCAATTCTTCATGTCTTATTCTTCATAGCTTATATGCCATTTATAGATGTTCTCTCTGCCAAGGTATATATGGAACATTCCCCTACTAAACTGTGGGTAAATTTTCCAGTCCTCCATCCCCTGAGATGATTAGGTTATTATGACACATGCGACTACCTTGGCATGAGTTGGCTAAGATACTGAATAATAACACTTCACGCTGTGGACATCAGTGACCATCAGTATTTGACCTGGATGGGCACAGTCCTGGCCTAAATTACTAATTCTCAGGAGGTCTTCTGCAAACGCATTTTGGCTATGTACAATGAGACCATTTGTCTAGAATATTTCTACTAACTCTCACCCAGACCCCAAATAATACAGGCCTCCCAGTACTACCACCTAAAGCATGGTGAAGCTGCTTCATGCCTATGACTACAGTCCTCAAACTGCACAAAGCTTTTATATATATTCGTTTCTATGCATGATGCAATTCACACAAAAAAAAAAATTTAAAAAATAGCAATATAAACTTCATGTTTCACAGAAGTCTATTTAAGATTCAGGCCAGTTGAAAACAAGGAAACTTTTACTGCCAAAAAAAGGATTAGAGGTTTCTAAACGAACGCTTACCCTGTGCAGCTTTTTCAGCATTTCTAGGAGAGCTTTAGCATGACCATGATTCTTGGCACTATTAGTCCAATAACGCAGTTGAGACATGATGGCTCTTTTAAACATCAGGACTAGTTTGCTGAAAGGAGATTCTTGCAGGCTTGCCCAATACTCCTCTGAGGAATACAAAGAAGGTAAATATTTTAAAATAAATTTTATTATGTATATTTGAGGTTTACAACATGATGCTATGGGATACATATAGATAGCAAAATGATTACTACAGTGAAGCAAATTGACGTATCTATCATCTTACTGTTACTTTTTTTGTGACAAGGGCAGCTAAAATCTACTTATTTAACAAAAATCCCTAAAACAATAATATTAACTACAGTCCTCATGTTATACATTAGATCTCTTGGCTTATGGATCCTACATATCTGCTACATTGTATCCTTTTATTTACATCTCCCCATTTCCTCCCTCCTAGCCCCCACCAACCCTGGTAACCACTATTTTATTTTCCATCTCTGTATATTTGGCCTGTACAAAAAAGGGAAATACAATTATTAACATTAAAGGTAATTTCTCTTGGATTCTTAAAGGTAAAAAGTGATCAATATTTCCCCAAACACATAAAAAAATATTTTAATATGTACAAAAAACACACTTCTGGACTGGCCAGTTATCTCAGCTGGTTAGAGCACAGCCTCATAATACCAAGCTCACGGGTTCTGATACCTGTATTGGCCAGCTGCCCCCCCAAAACAAAACACATTTCTAATAAACTTTGCAGTGAAAACAGTACAATTGCAATTAAAAGTTTAGATTTTAATATCCTGAAAAAATTCCTTCACAGTTAATAGACACACAACCTTAATTTAATTTATGAAAAAATACACACACAAAAAATTTTTTTTTGATAGCTGCATGGTACAGGGATTGGAACTACTGACCTGATGTTATAAGGCCATGTTCTAACCAAATGAGATAACTGGCCAGCCCAAAATACAAAATCAAATTGATCACATTTTTGCCCATATGAAATAGTATAATGTATTAAAAATTAAATAAAAAACTGTTCATGATTTTACAACTCTCTTTTTGTGGTCCCAGCCTGAGATTTTTTTTTTGTGTGTGTCTTTTTCGTGACCGGTAAGGGGATCACAACCCTTGGTGTGGTGTCGCCTGCACTGTGCTCAGCCAGTGAGCACACCGGCCATCCCTATATAGGATCCGAACCTGCGGCGGGAGCGTCGCTGTACTCCCAGTGCCGCACTCTCCCGTGTGCGCCACGGGGCTGGCCCCAGCCGAGTTTTTAACTCTTAAAAAACATCTTTCAGCATTTAAAAAAACAAAATACACTTTAAAATAGCTTTTCATCACTTACAATATTGTCTGGATGTAATAAAACGTAAAGTATGGACTTCCTTGGTCTGAATAGGCCATGTATGTCAAAAAACTCATTAAAATCCATTCATGCCCCTAGACCTACTTTCCAGTGTACTGGAAGTACAGAGAAAGGAAGAACAATCAGACAATGTGGATATGGAACATTTGGTAAGACAACCGACCTAGATTCTCAAAAAAAAAAAAAAATCAGCTATAAAATACTTTTTGGGAAAAGTGGAGAAATTTAAATATGGCCTGGACATTGGGTAATATTATGGAATTATGGCTAATTTTCCTAACTATAACGATATCATGGTAATATAGGATTCCATATTCTTAGATGAATGCTGAATATATGAGTAAAATCTCAAGTCTTCAACTCACTTTCAAATAGTTCAATAAAAATAAAACACAATCTCTACATAAAGAGAGAAAGCACGTATGACAACATGTTTACTGTAGTTGACTCTAAGGTAGAGGGTACATGGATATCGACTACTATTCTTTCAACTTCTCTGTGTTTGTGAAATTTTTCATAATGAAAAGTTGGGGACAAAAGACCTCATGACCAAGCCATGCATGTCCCATTGCAAGAACTCTAAAAAGGTTCTCAAACAATCACAGTAATTATTACAGCATCTTTAGAGTATGCTAAGAAAATGAACTAAAAAACATGAATGCATTTATAATTATCTAAATTTTGCCATAACTTTACTAGGCATGTCTTTCTATTGAGAAGATGGGTAAAGTATTTTCAAATGTAAATCATCAATGTTACCCAGAATCCTTGAAGACTGGTCACTCATCTTACAAACAGCCTTTGCAAATGGAACCACCAGGCTCTCCCAGTTGTTAGAATCATGCATCATAGGACATTCTGGGAGAAGGAAGAAAATTTCTAAAGCTTCTTGGTGTAAAGAATGAAATGGAAGGTTTTTGAACAGATTTTCCTTGAGACAGGTGGTTATCTGTGGACAGAAAGGATCAGGGAAAAGGCATTCAAAACTCAGCAGGGACTGGGTATAACTTATTGTAAAAAAACAAGTAGAACCTGAAATTTCATTCCACCATTAAATTAGAATAGTCATTTAGTTTTTCTAAAACTCATGTTTACATCCCATCTCACCCAGCTTCCCAAATACAATAGGTATTTGGAACATGTGACAAGTATTCTCCTCACTCATTGTTGCAGTGCATGAAGGAGATCAGAAGAAATCACATGACAAGTTACACTGCATAAACGATGGATTAGGAACCAATGGCAGCCCTCTCTATAATAAGTACTATATTCTACCCTCTGGTTCACACTATCAGACCTCATTTTCTTTCAGAGGAAGATTGTATCAGAACCCCAAAAAGCAAAACAAAATAAAAACCAAAAGACAAACAAAAGCAACAATTTCACCAACAAAACCTAACATGGTTTCCTATTACGTTCTCATAGGACCACCTGTCTCCACCACAAATTCTAGTGTCTAGACTACCTGTCTCCACCACGAATTCTAGCCCTTCTAATCTCCTTGTAGTTTCCCCAATTCAGAAGGCAACTGTTCAGGAAAAATTCAAATGAAATTCTTAATTTGTATTTGTTACGTGTGCTTAGATAATAGCAATCATTTGTTTAAAAATCCACTGTGCAGATAAGCTAGTATTTATGGAATACTTATTATCTGCCAGATACTGTGCTAACCGGCTTATGTATAATAATTAGGTCCTTTAATCCTTGTAGTTTCTCCATAACACAGATGATATCATTAATCTCACTTTATAGATGAGAAATCTGCACTTCAGAGAAATTAAGTTACTTGCTCAAGGTCACAGAGCTAAGTTAGAATTTCTCCTGGATCTTTCTGATCCCAAACCAAACTCTTAACCATTACATTATGAGGCATTGGATAAATGATATCTCTAAATGCACAAATTCTTATAATTACCTATTTTTATATTAAAACATTATACTGGGTTCCTACTGTGAGGTTCCATCTGTGGATTACGTTTACATGACAACTCTATTTTAACATCCCAGTGACCCATCTTTGTTCATCATTACTCACATCCCCAAACCTCCCAGCCTACTCCAAACCTTTCAGAAGTACTATGATACTTTCAAGCCAATGTGTTTGCTCACACACTGTGTTCTGGTGTACATTTTCTTGGCTACCTGGAATGTCCTTCCTCATGTAGGTACCTGACAAACTCCCAATTCCTCTGGGCAGCTTATTTTGAGTATTCTAAGTAGAGCTGACCATTAATTGCCCCAACACGACTGAATTCATCCAAAAATATTTATTGTACATGGACTACATTCTAAGCTCGGCAATAGAGAAGACAGTGGAGTATAAAAAACATCCAGTCTTTGTACTAATACTTGGATGTATGTGTCTGTCTCCCTTACTAAACCATGAGCTTCTGAAGAATGAAGTGTGTCTCTTTCATTCTTCATCAAGAGTCATTATTACACTGCCTTGCAAATATCAAGTATTCGAATGTTTGCTAAATAAATCAATGAATGCCAAAGTCTGAGTCCATATGACAGAATTGCAAGATGGAAACATTACAGGTCTTCTAATCTAACTATCCTTTTCTGACACAACAGAGGTGAAGGATGTCCTATGATTATGTTATTTGCACATCACATGTTATTTTTTTGGCATAATCAAGATATAATTAGCAAGCAGGGAGGTCCCTTAGCAATGAACTGATCCAACCCTTTCCCTTCGCAGATGAAGAAATGGCCTTCTATTTCTGGTGATCTTTCCACAGTTGAATTCAGTAGCAATGACTCAGAATCTTACTGAAAGAAAGTTAAACTGGCTCCAACAGGAGGATTTTAAATAATCAAAGAAATGCTCATGAAACAGTCAACAGGGTAGTTCTTGGGTTAATGTGACAGGGAGCCATGGTTCTGCTGTGGTAAACAGAATTAACCTTTCCATCTTCCCTTGAGAGAAAGCAGTGTGTGAGAGAGAAAACTTGCAGCTAAGATAGAGAATGCTGATTGTGGCAGACAGGGCAGCACAGCAGGTAAGGCAGCTCAGAAAAAGGGAGGGTGAGAGATGAGAGCATGGTCTCACTCACATGTGGAATCTAAGTAAGTTAGTTTTATTGAAGTAGAGAATAGAATGGTGGTTGCCAGAAGCTGGGGAGGGGAGGGGTGGAGGGGATAGTTAAGTACAAAGTTATAGTTCGGAAAAATATGTTCTGGTATTCTATTGCACAGTAGGATGGCTATAGTTAACAATGTACTGTATCTTTCAAAATAGCTAGAAGAGAGGATTCTGAATGTTTTCATCACAAAAAAAATGATAAATGTCTGTGGTAACAGAATTGCTAATCACCCTGATTTGATAATTACACAATGTACACATATATTAAAACACCACATTGCACCCCATAAATATGTATGATTATTATGTGTCATTTAAAAATAAAACAAAACCTGGGCCGGCCCGGTGGCGCACTGCTACAGTGCGCCACTTGGGAAGCGCGGAGGCCCTCCCGCCGAGGGTTCGGATCCCACATACAGACCGGCCGCTCACTGGCTGAGCGAGGTGCGGGAGCAACACCAAGGGTTGCGATCCCGTAGCCAGTCCCGGTCCGGTACGGGCGCGACACTGAGGGTTGCGATCCGTTGCCGGTCAAGAAAAAAGACAAAAAGGGAAAAAATAAAATAAAATAAAATAAAACAAAACTTTAAAAGGTTGAGGGGGGAAAGAGAATGAGAGATACAGAAACAGGAGAGAAAAAAAAAAAAAAAAAAGAGGAGTGGGTGCAAGGAGGGAAGGAGAGGGAGAAAAAAAGAAACCACAGTGAGACCCAGAGAGAAAAACTCAGAGAACACAGGAAGTACCATTCCTGATCAAACAGTAGAATAAAATAGGGAGATAAAGTAATAAGGCTACATCAATAAAGGCTAAATTAATAAAGAAAACATGTTTGCAGCATTTGCAAATGGAAAACCTAAAAACAATAGTAACAGTACTGAAACACACAGCAACAGTTCCAGAAAGAACAAGACCACTCTAGAACCTACAGAAAAGAAAGCACAATAGAACAAAACACAGAGAGCAAGAACATAGGCAGTCTTTGGTGTAGGGATATTCCTACCAGAAAAGGTGTTCTTGTTCCTATATTTGTGCTTAACAGAATTGCATAAAAAATCTCATTCTTATTCTCGTGTGTCAGTTTCAACAAATCCTTAATCATTTTCCTAAAGCCCTAAGTTGGAAAAATTCCCTCTAGGAATGTGTATATGTGTATGTGTATGTGTGCTCTGTACAGACGCACTATTTAGACTATTTGTAACCTATGTGACTTCTATACCAACTATTTCACTCTAAATGGGCAAACTCAAGTGCTATGAGTTTATCTTAATCTGGATATAGTACAGCATCTCAGAGAATCTCTTAAAACACAGTATTTCTTTTGAAATTTTGAGTTCTTATTAGAAATGTTCCAAGTGTATTTTCTCTCTCCAAATAATAATCTGAAGAATACCACCATGTTAGTAATCCATTCCTTTTGGGTTAACTCCTTAAAGGTGTTTCTTGCTTTATTTAAATCCAAATGGATAGATGTTTCTGCAGCTATTCTGTAGAAGAAAGATAAATAAGTGAAAGCAAATGAAAACAGACACTTCAAAATTAAGTATTTTATCAGATCATCTATTTAGATGCAAAGTTTCTTCTACAGTTTGCCCCATTTCAATAAAATTACCTTTTTTCTCAACTATCATAACTAATTTGGCTGAATACAAATACAATTGACAATGAAGTAGACAACACAGAATTATTCTAAAATGCCAAAAAATATCAAGGCTGCATTTGCTATATATACCACAAGACATTAACTCAGATATTGTCTCATCTAAAACGTATAATCAAGAAATACTTATTTTCCACTACAAAAATAGCCACAGAAAAAAGACAAAGGTTTTTCCTCTTTCCAAAAAATATGACCATTTTTTCCAGTTACATAAATTGAAAGTAGGGACCAAAAGAAAGAGCTTCAAAGCAGTAAATTCTTAATATTCCAATAAAAAATTATTAATAAAATGTGTAAGTATCCTAATGCATTAACTGTTTATGCTGAACTGAATAAATTCACTGTTTAAAAATATGCATTCTTTGTAAAGTAATAAATATAATTAGTGTCTAAAAATAGGGAAAACTTCTTTCAAAGAAATAAATATATTATACAGATATTTAGGTAAAGAAGAAGAAAGTTATTCTTTCCTAATTTTCTTTATTGCATAGTGACAAATTATAGTGGTATATATTTATGGTGTCATGATTTTGAATCATTTTTGAATAAGAAATGATTAAATTAAGCTAATTAACATCATCTCAAACATTTAACCTTCTTTGTGATGAGAACATTAGAAATTTATTCTCTTAGTGATACTGAAATGTACAATACTTAGTTATTAGCTGTACTCAGCATGCTGTGCTATTGATCTAAACAATACAATAAAATAAAATAAATATATTCCTTCTATCTAACTGAGGCTTTATACCCTTTGACTATCATCTCCCCATACCCCCCACTCACCAGCCTCTGATAACCACCATCCTACTCTCTGCTTCCATGAGTTCAATTGTTTTAGATTCCACATTTAAGTGAGAAGATACAGTATTTGTCTTTCCATGTTTGGCATATTTCACTTAGCACAATGTTCTTCGATTCTGTCCATGTTATCAAAAATGACAATTTCCTCCTTTTGTAAGGCTGACTATAGTATTCCAATGTGTATATACACCACATTTTCTTTATCCATTCATACCCTGATGGACACTTAGGTTGATTCCATAATTTGGCAACTGGGCTGGCCAGTTAGCTTAGCTGGTTAGAACATGGTGCTGATAACACCAAGGTCCAGGGTTTGATCCCTATACTGGCCAGCCAATGCCCACACCTCCGAAAAAATTAATTTAAAAAAAATGACATAATTTGACTATTGTGAATAGTGCTGCAATGAATGTGGAACTACAGACATCTCTTAGACATACTGATTTCAAGTCTTTCACATAAATACCCAGAAGCAGGACTATTAGATTATATGGTAATTCTATTTGATGGAATTTGGATGTACTGTCCTCCCAGAACCCATGTGGAAATCTGATCCCCAATATGGCAGTATTGGAAGCTGTTTGAGTCATGGGGGTGGATCCCTCATGAATGGTTTAACACTCTCCCTAGGTGGGGGAGTGAGTTCTTGCTCTATTAGTTCCCCAAAGAGCTGGTTGTTTAAAAGACCCTGGTAAACTTCCCTGCTCTTTCTTGCTTCCTCTCGCCATGTGATCTGCTTGTACCTGCTGGCTGCCTGTGGCTTTCTGTCATGAATAGAAGCAGCCTGAGGTCCGCACCAGATGCACCTGTCCCAGAATTGTGAGCCAAATAAACCTCTGTTCTTTGTAAATTACCCAGTCTCAGGTTTTCTGTTATAGCAACACAGAACAGACTAATACCCTATTTTTAGCTTTCTGAGAACCTCTTTACTATTTTCCATAATGGTTGTAGTAATTTACACTTCCACCAACAGTGTACAAGGGCTCCCTTTTCTCCATTCTTACCCACACTTGTCTTTTTAATAACAGCTATTCTAACAGGTGTGAGGTGATACCTCAATGTGGCTTTAATTTGCATCTCCCTAATGACTAGAAATGTTGAGCACTTTTTCATGTGTGTGTTAGCCACCTGTATGCCTTCTTTTCAGAAAATGTCTATTCAGGTCCCTCGCTCATTTCTTAGTTGGATTATGTTTTCTTTCTATAGTTATTTAAGTTCCTCATATATTCTGGATATTAATCACTTATGAGAGGTATGATTTGCAAATATTTTCTCCCAATCCATAGGCTCTCTCTTCACTCTGTTGTTTCCTTTGATGTGCAGAAGCTTTTTATTCTGGTGTAGTTCTATTTGTCTATGTTTGCTTTTGTTGCCCATGCTTTTAGGGTCAAATCTAAAAAATCATTGTCCATATCAATGTTGTATAGTTTTTCGCATTTTCTTCTAGCAGTTTTACAATTTCAGGTCTTACATTTAAGTCTTTGATCAATATTGAGCTAATTTTGCATATGGTATGAGATAAGAATTCAACTTCATTCTTTTACATATGGATATACAGTTTTCCCAACACCATTTATTGAAGAGACTATCCTTTTCCCACTGTACAAGTATATTTGATCAATTGACCATAGATGTGTGTTATTTTCCAGGCTCTCTACTGTGTCCCACTGGTTGACATGTCTATTTTTATGCCAGTACCAGGCTGTTTTAATTACTTGCATTTTGTAGTATAGTTTGAAATTAGGTAGTACAGTTCCTCCAGCTTTGTTCTTTTTGCTCACAATTGTCCTGGCTATTTATATTTTTTTGTGGTTCCATATGAGTTTTAGGATTTTTTTATCTCTGAGAAATGACATTGCAATTTTGACAATGATTACATTAAATCTGTAGATTGCTTTGGGTGGTATAAACATTTTAACAATATTAATTCTTCCAATCCATGACCATGGGGTATCTTTCCATTTATTTGTGCATTCCTCAATTTCTTTCATTAATGGTTTACAATTTTCAGTGTATAGGTCTTTCATTTACTTGGTTAAATTTATTTCTAAGTATTTTATTACTTTTTTTGTAGCTACTGTAAATGGGACTGTTCTGATTGAATAGAAGGGGCTAAGCTTTTCCTCTAAGACCTTGTCTTATTCCAGGCCTTAGAAGAAAAGCTTTTAACTTTTCCCCATTGAGTATATCAGCTGTGGTTTGTCATATATGACTCATTATTGTGTTAAGGTACATTCCTTTTATACCTATTTTGTTGAGTTTTTGGTTTTTTAAGTCATAAAAGGATGTTGAATTCTGTCAAATGCTTTTTCTGTATCTAGTGAGATGATCATATAATTTTTGTCCTTCATTCTGATGATGTGATGCATTGATTTGCAAATATTGATTTGCATATTGTGGTGGGTTGAATTATGTCCCACTAAAACTCAATGAAGCTTGAATTGTGTCCGCAAGTTTCATATATTAGAAACTTGGCCCTCACTTTAACTGTTAAGAAGGTGGGAAATCCTATTATGGTAATGGGAAGGTGGAGCCTTGAAGAACTGATTAGATTGAGGACCATGCTGTAGTGAATGGATTAAAAATGGTGGTCAGGGGCATGGTTCTGAGGGCCTTAAAAGAGAGAGAGTCTGTCTTTCTCTCTTGCTCTCTGCTCTGCCATTTTCACAATATGATACCCTGCCATCACTGTCACCACCACCAAGATCTTCACCAGCTCTGTTCCCCGGACTTTGGACTTCCTAGCCTCAGAAACTGTGAGTAGTAAAGTTCATTTTTTTATAAATCACCCAGTTCTATGTATTTTGTAATAAGCAACAGAAATGGACTAATACCCATATATTGAACTATCTTTGCATTCCTGGGATAAATCCCAGTTGATCATGGCTAATGATGTTTTTAATGTGTGTTGAATTTGATTTGCTAGTATATTGTTGATTTTTGCATCTACATTCACCAAGGATATTGGCCTACAGTTTATTTTTCCTGTGATATCCTTATTTGGCTTTGGTATCAGGGCCTCATAAAGAGTTTGGAAGTATTCCCTCCTCATCAATTTTTTGTAATAGTTTGTGGTGAATTGGTATTCGTTCTTCTTTAAATCTTTGGTAGAATTCAGCACATATGTCCATATCATGTCCTGGACTTCTCTTTGATGGGAGACTTTCTATGACTGCTTCAATCTCCTCTCTTGTTATCAGTCTGTTCAAATTTTCTATTTCTTTATGATTCAGTCTTGGTAGGTTGTATATGTTTAAGAATTTATCCATTTCTTCTAGGCCATCTAATTTTTTGACATATAATTGTTCCTAATAGTTTCTTATGGTCCTTTGTATTTCTGTGGCATCAGCTGTAATGTCTCCTCTCTCATTTCTTGTTTTATTTAAGTCTTTCTCTTTTTCTCTTTTGCTTAGTCTAGCTAAAGGTTCATCAATTTAGTATATCTTTTCAAAAAGGCAACTCTTAGTTTTGTTGATCTTCTGGATTATTTTTCTAGTCTCTATATCATTTATTTTTGCTCTGATCTTTATTATTTCTTACCTTCTGCTAATACTGTGCCTATTTGTTCTTTTTTTATTTCCTTAAAGCATAATGTTGTTTATTTGCAATCTTCTTTTTTTAATGTAGGTGTTTATTGCTATAAACTTTCCTCTTAAGAACTGCTTTTGCTGCATCCCATAAGTTTTGGTATGTTTTGTGTATATTTCCATTTATCTATAGATATTTTAAAATTTCCTTTTTAATTTCTTCATTGATCCATTGGTAGTTCAGAAGAATGTTTAATTTCCATGTTTTTGTTAATTTTCCAAAATTCCTCCTGTTATTGATTTCTAGTTTCATACCATTGTGGACAGAAAGGGTACTTGATATGATTTCAATCTCTTAAATTTGTTAAGACTTGTCCTTTGGCCTAAGATATGATCTATCTTGGAGAATGCTGTGTGTGTGCTTGAGTAGAACGTGTGTTCCGTTGTCAGATGGAATGTTCTATATATGTCTGTTAGGTCTATTTGGTCTAGAGGGCTGTTCAAGTCTGGTATTTCCTTATTAATTGTCTGTCTGAATGATCTGTCCAATATTGAAAGTGATATATTAAAGTCTCCTCCTATTATTGTATTTGTAATCTCTCTCTCCCTTCAGATCCTTTAATATTTGCTTTATATATATATATATATATATATATATATATGTATGTGCTCCACTGTTGGGAATATACATATTTACCACTGTAATACCACCTTGATGAATTAAGCCCTTTATTATTATATAATGTCCTTCTTTCTTTCTTTTTAGTTTGATTTTAAGTCTACTTTATTTGATACAGGTATTGCTACCCCTGCTCTTTTTTAGTCTGTGTGCATCCTTAATGAGTCTTTGTAGGCAGTGAAATGAGTCTGTTGTGGGCAACACATAGTTGGGTCTTACTTTTTTTTTTATTTTTATTTTTTAAAAGATGACCGGTAAGGGGATCTTAACCCTTGACCTGGTGTTGTCAGCACCATGCTCAGTCAGTGAGCTAACCGGCCATCCCTATATGGGATCCGAACCCGTGGCCTTGGTGTTATCAGCATTGCACTCTCCCGAGTGAGCCACAGGCCGGCCCTGGGTCTTATTTTTTAATGTATTCATTCACTCCATGTTTTTATTGGAGAATTTAATCCATTTACATTCAAGGTAATTATTGATAGGTAGGGACATGCTATTGCCATTTTGTTCATTGTTTTCTGGTGTTTTTGTACATACTTTGTTTCTTCCTCTCTTGCCTTCTTACTTTCTGGTTTGATGGTTTGATAGTTTTCTGAAGTGGTAAGTTTTGAATCTTTTAAATTTATTCTTTGTGTATCTCCTACAGATTTTTGCATTTTGGTTACCATGAGGCTTATAAAAAACATTTTATAACAATCCATTTCAAGCTGTTAACAACTTAACTTGGATTGCATTCAACAACTCCACACTTTGACTCCCCCCACATTGTTTCTGATGTCTGAATTTACATCATTTTGTAATATGTATCCCCTGATAGTTTATTTTAGTTCTAGTTTTTATTAATAATTTTGTTCGTTAACCCTTGTACTAGGGATAATATTACTTTACACAGCACAATTACAGTCCTAGAATATTCTGAATATTGCTTGGTATTACTTACATGATTGGGTTTTGTGCTTTCTTAAGTTTTATATTAATTAGCAGTTTTATATTAATTAAGTTTTATATTAATTAACTTTTGTTTCAGTTTAAAGAACTCCCTTTAGCAATTTCTGTAAGGCAGTCCTAGTGGTGATAAACTCCCTTAATTTTTGTCTGGGAAAGTTTTTATTTCTCCCTCATTTCTGAAAGACTGATTTGCTGGGTAAAGTATTCTTGGTTGGCAGTTTTTTCCTTCAGCACTTTGAATATATCATCCTATTCTCTCCTGGCATGCAGGGTTTCTGCTGAGAAGTCTGCTGATAACTGTACTGGGACTCCTTTGTATGTGATGTGTTTCTTTCTTATCTCTTGCTGCTTTCAGAGTTTTTTCCCTAATATTTAAAAATTCAAAAAATTATTACCTCACAATAAGGAAATGATTAAATAAATTAAGGTATGACCTTCCCATGTAATAATTAAAATGATATTATAGATAAATAATAATATGGAAATTGAATAAAATGAAAAGTGGACAAACGTATTAAGAGTAAAGCAATATAGGGCTGGCCCAGTGGCGCACTGGAGAGTGCGCCGCTTGGGAGAGCGCTCCGCTTGGGAGAGCGGCACTACCGCCGAGGGTTCGGATCCCATGTGGTGACCGGTTCCCACTCACTGGCTGAGCGCGGCGCGGGCGCAACACCGAGGGTTGCGATCCCGTTGCCGGTCCCTGGTACGGGCACGACACTGAGGGTTGCGATCCCGTACCAGTCAGTAAAAAAGACAAAAAGGAAAAAAAAAAGAGTAAAGCAATATATAAAACAACATAACCCCATTTTTTGGTAAAATGTATTTGCATAGTGTAGAGCAATATATAAAACAACATAACCCCATTTTTTTTGTAAAATAATATATTTGCATAGAAAAAGGATTTATACATAAACACTAGCTATTACTCAAGTGACTGATTATGTGTAATTTTCATTTTTTGTTGTGTGTATTTTTGACATTTTCTACAGCAAGCACATATTTGCTTTTGTTAAAAAAACATAATTTCTAAAAAGAGGTAAACATATAACTATTTTACCTTTAAATCACTTTTAGTACTCTTTTGTGGTATTTTTAATAGAATATTATCTCATGTATTACCTTTTACTTAAGAAACTTCCAGTCAGGCAAGCAGGAGATGAAAATATTTCTTTGATTTCCCTACATTAGGAATAAGACAGTGGTTAAACCAAATTACAGAGTATACCTCTTTATAGCAGGAGACATGATAAATAAAACATTTTATAACTGTCCCTCAAACTTCCCCCTCTGTCTCCTATTTGTTTGCATATTATGTTGGCATCTAAAAGTTATTCCATTTGCTAAATCTCAAAATTTCAGTGGCAAACGTGGGAAGTAAAAAGGCATATACTCAGACAAGCCTCAGGGAAAGAAGAAAAGGTTTGATCTAGGGTCAGTACGTCCTTAAATAAATAAAACACTACCACCCCACCCAACATTGCAAACCCTATTTATTTCTGTTCTACTGAAATGGAAATAAATAAAATAAGTTACCAGAAATTAAATTGGGGGTGGGGAGTATATTCAACTTCATCTTGGAAGAAATTGCACAAATAGTTCTTGATCATTTATGCTCTGCAAATTATGATGCAACTATTTTGAACAACTATTTTCCGGAACTAGAAAGCCATACCTAAAAATATTACTTAAAAAAGGTGTTGTTAAGAACGAGTATCATTTTTACAGATGGTACAAGTTCTGTGGTTTAGAAAAGGATTACCCAAACTGTTCAACTGTGAATAGGAAGTACACAAATAAGTGGTTCCAAGATCAACCAGGATTGAGAAATGCTGTAGATTGTATTTCCTGCTCAGAGAGTCATAGTACACATTAAAAAAAAGCCCAGAGAAGTTCTGCAGTAAGAAAGCTGTCCTCAAAGAGCTTACATGCTAATTGTGATGGTTAATTTTATATGTCAACTTGGCTAGGCCATGGTACACAGATATTTCGTCAAACATTATTCTAGATGTTTATATGAAGGTATTTTTTAGATGACATTAACATTTAGTGTCATGGGAAGCCCGTTGGGCTCCTGAGCCGGGGTGGGGGACACCAAGGGCCTCAGCCACACTCCCCCAACATCCCCAACCTGGCCAGCGAAGGAGCCGGTCCCCCGCCTCTGCCACCCTCCCCCATCCCTTCCCACTGCTCCACAACATCTTAGAATGTAAAACATAATAATAATAAATAAATAATTTTTAAAAAAAATTTAAAACAGCAGTCTTTGAGTAAAGCAGATTACCCCCTCCATTATGTGGGTGGGCCTCATCCAATCAGTTGAAAGCCTTAACAGAAAAGACAGAGGTTGGGCCGGCCCGTGGCTCACTCGGTACAGTTCGGTGCTGATAACACCAAGGCCCCAGGTTCGGATCCCACATAGGGATGGCCGGTTCGCTCACTGACTGAGCATGGTGCTGACAACAACAAGTCAAGGGTTAAGATCCCCTTACCGGTCATCTTTTAAGAAAAAAAAAAAAAAAAAGACAGAGGTTGCTCAAGAAGAGGGAATTATACCTCCATTACTGCCTTTGGCTGATAACACCAAGGCCCCAGGTTCGGATCCCACATAGGGATGGCCGGTTCGCTCACTGACTGAGCATGGTGCTGACAACAACAAGTCAAGGGTTAAGATCCCCTTACCGGTCATCTTTTAAGAAAAAAAAAAAAAAAAAGACAGAGGTTGCTCAAGAAGAGGGAATTATACCTCCATTACTGCCTTTGGACTTGACCTGCAACATCAACTCTTGCCTGGCTATCTGACCTGCCCTACAAATTTCGGGTTTGGCAGGCCCCACAATCACATGAGCAAATTCTTTAAAATAAATTAATCTCTTTCTTTTTCTATTAGCTATAGATACAGATACAGATATAGGTATATACATATACACACACACATATTCTATCAGTTGTTTCTTGAGAAAACCGTAACTAATATACTAGTGGACCACAAAATCTCACATCTATGTATTGTGCAGAACCAGTTTGGGAAATGCTACTTTAAAGAGATGTATAAACAGACAGTCAGACACTTGGGGTGTACCTTTTTGTATTCTGCCACTGTTTAGTCTCCACATCGGCAATCCATCTCTTTGCAGTCCCTTCACTCAATGTAGGAATTTTCCTCCACAGATTAACATAGGAATTCTGTAAACAAACAAAAAAGTAAAACACGGTAATTTAGACAAGCCAGAAATAGGTACCCAACTTTTATGCACATTCTTAGAGGGCAAAACTGATTTTTAAAAATGGACAATACAGCTCTGTGACAATCATAAAGTGAGATTCTAACAAGAAGTAATGAATCATCTGCCTGGTTGCCACTTTCTGGTTCAAAGGAGCTTAGACTCAAAGTAAATTTGTCTGAGTACCCCAACACTCAGCACTTTATACAAGTTCAGTCAGATTAAACTGAACATCAGACAGCCTTGAGAGGAAGATCTTAAAAGGGCTGTGCATAGAAATGGAAGGAACTTGATTTCCCTTGGTGAAGCAGGGCAGGAAAGTTATAGACTGGTTACACATAAGCCTATGAACCTTGGGTCTTTTTTGGTACTAGCTGGCAAAGTCATTTTTCACATCTGTCACCTTGTTGGCTTACTAGGACCTTGACCAAATACCACTGGCAAGGAGCCCCCAAAAGGTAAGGAGAGTCTAAAGAAATCGCACTGATTCAACATTCACCAGAGACAAATATGCTGATTTTTGTGGGTAAATATTGATGTTGTTTAGATAATAAAGCATCAATAAGATCCAGTTATTCCCAACAAATCAGCCTAGTAACCTGATGATTCTGGAACTTACTAAACCTGGATTCTAGAACCTTTTGTTTGCTTAAAATACCAAGTTATACAATATCCAGAGATCTATTTTTACCTCTTTTTCCATCCAGAGCAAAATGCTTTGATTCCCTCCAGCAAGCATTATTAACTTCTTTTCTGAGGAATGGCTTTCTGAAAGGGATACACAAAAGTAAGAGTTTAGGAAGTCACCTGGCACAAACATGTATACTGAATCTAATTTCAGATTCTTCTTAAATGTGGTCATTTTATCATTTTAATAGACAAAGACTCAGCACATTTACCACCAATTAAGAAGTAGAAATATATAAACTTCAGGGTAAAATCTAGTTGGCAAACATAGGTGATTCATAAGGCTGACATGTGACATTAGTTTAATATACATAATTAATATAAATGTTAATACGTAAAACACAAACCAATATCTGATTAGTTACAGGTTGCCTAGTTAAATTCTGCTCCCATTACTAATAACCATGTTCTCAAGATTTAACCAATGACTGCTGGCTGTGAAGAATATAAATAAGTACTTCAAGCTCATGTAACTGGTTATAAGGAATGAAAGATAATATATGTATTGCTTAAGGAAATATACTGTTCATTTCCCCAGAAGAAATGAGCAAATTTTGTTACTTTAGGTCACAACTAAGCTTTCAAAAACTAGTTAACAAAAGTGCTCAGAGGCACTTCTGTAGTAGAGTGTTTCAGAGCTCAGTCTCTGAGGTTACACATAGCAGTTCAATTCCAGCCAAAACACTTACTGGCTCTAAGCAGCTAACCTTTTGCTCTCCAAGTCTGTGTCCTCCAGTAAAACAGAATTGACAGGATACATCTCCCAGAACTATTTCAAGAATTGATGAGATAACACAGGTACATGCTGAGCACAGTTACAGTGCCTGGTATATAAGGGTACTTTTAAAAGTTCATGGAAAAATAAGATTACAAGATAATACAAATCTTTCTATGAACTTTTTAAAATACCCTTGTATGTCAGCCACTCATTGTTATGAGGGTTTTTCATGATAATGGGTCAACTTAACGAGGCAGGAAAACCAGTCACCACAGAATTAATAAGTCTCTTGCAAACTAGAATCAGAGCTGCATATGCCTCTGAATCCATATAGTCTATTTTATTTTGTTATAATTTAAGTTCACTTTAATCCTAATCTGAAGGAGTAATAGGAAAATAATGGTTATCTTGACTTAATAAGTTAGTGTGAATCTTTTAAATGGTTTACAAGTAAAAAAAAATGAAACCAATGGTTAGAGAAACTCCCTTCATATTCATATATTGCTTTCCTTGCCACATTATACACTTTAAAAAATCACTTTCTCCAAAAAGGAATTATGCCACATCCTGTGCTCCTATAAAATTTACCAAATTTGAGTTCTTCATTTGATGGCAATTTCATGGGAAGTGGTTTCAGCTGATTATGTGTTCCACCATTTCCCAATTGTCCTTCTTTTCCAGAACCAAAGGCAAAGACCTTTCCCAAATCAGAAACATAGGCAAGAGTGTGCCACCTATTAAATAAAAGCACATATGGTCAATTCTTAATTATTCACAATGATGAACAGTATTTAGCAATTCAGTAAACTGCTAAAATTAGGTTACCCAGTGAGAGTGAAACTAGTTAACCAATTCTCAAAGGATGAAAACCAAGAAATCAATGTGTGGCTGATTAGATTTTGGAGCCCCTAGGTCCACTCAAGACCATGATGTCTCCCCTTGCCTCCTGCTCCTTTTTCAAGCCTCAGCTTGGGAGTCAGCTCCTCTTAGAAGCCATTTGAGTCTCACTTCCTGGAAGACTGAATTAGTTGACCTTCTCTGAGCTCCCATTCTGTTTCCCAAAGACCTCTCTCACTGATTTTCTTAATGATTTGCTTATTGGTCTCTCCCCCAACACTGATGTGTAGTAAGGAATTTGGCCTAGCCTTTTTCCCCAGTTCCTGGGAGGTAACCTCTAAACCCTTAGAATTCCCTTAGTGATAGTGTGTCTTTGTTCTTCATGGTCGGGTCCTGGGACCCCAATGATAGGTGGCCTGCATGTAAGCCAGACATTCAGGAGGGAGAGCCTGGAGGTTGAATTCAACCACCTGGGCTTGATTCAATCAATCATGCCTAATGAATGAAACCCCAATAAAAACCCTGGACTGGGAGAGTTTCCCTGGCTGGCAATACTCTGTATGTAGGGGTTTTTTTTGATGGCTGGCAGGTATAGGGAATCCAAACCCTTTGACCTTGGTACTGTAACACCATGCTCTAACCAATCGAGCCAACCAGCCAGGTGCAATACTCTGTATGTATTTTCACATCAGGCCGGAAGAGGTAATGCTGTTCAGCTGCTCCAAGAAGAGACAAAAACTGGAAGCTATGTTTGGACCCCTCCATCTGTGACTCTTCCTTTGACTGGGACTAATTTGTATACTTTTCTTGTAATAAATGTGACTGTGAGTACAGTAGCTTTCAGTCAGTTCTGTGAGTCTGCCCAGTGAATCTTCCTGTGTTAGTACGGGTATTGCCCTGATTTGCATTAAGACATCTCTAAATTGGCTCCTTCAACTTGCAATACATGCTACTCAAAGGAATGTTTGTTACGAAGAATCTAAAGTGGTGATAATGTTTCTTTGGTTAAAAGATACAGAGTGAGATATCGATATTGAAGCAATATCGTTTCTTTGGTTAAGAAAATCATATTCCCAAAATCTGGCCTATCTTAATATTACCTTTTTGTAATTTTACTCAAAGATCATAGGAAAGTAGGTCTACAGACTGAAAGTATGTACACTAGTTTTTTACAGTAAGGGTTTCAGTAAAGTAACAAATAAACCTAATATTCAGATAGAGCCTGAATCTGCACTATGTTTAGTGAGGGAAAAAATTGTCCAAAATAAGACTTTGTATATCTAGGTAAAAATACTTTTTAAACCAACCAAGTCCCAATATCCCATTGGCAAAAAATAGATTGATGAATCTGATGATCAAAGAAAATAATTAAGTAAACCAAAAGCAAGATTTTTTGCCTTTATTTAAAAAAATAAGCTGTGGAAGTCAAACTTCTCCAGAATATTCCACCCAAACCACCGACTCTGTCTTATACTTCACTGTGATCAGAGCAGGATACGCTTAAAGATTTACTGTAACTAAAAAGTAAATTGGCCCTGAGGGGTTATGAGAGAGGGTGATTACATTAATGAATACTCCTTTATGATTCATGCTTATTTATTTTTCCCAAATAAATAAATAATGACTTTTTTTTAAAAGATAAAATGCATCTGGACAGTTACAAAGGTATGTCACCAAAGAGGCAAAAGAATTGAATACAGTGAATTGTATCTGCTCATTAAAAAAAAAAAATCAGGGGCTAATGAGTTAGCTCTGTTAGTTAGAGCTTGTACAGATAACACCAAGGTCTGGGGTTCCATCCCTCTCTATACCGTCCAGTTGGCAAAAAAAAAAAAAAAAACCCAAAGAAAACAAACATATGTATTAAAAGATTTATTATGATTATATAATAACATAAAGTAAGCATCTTTACCCATTTGAAAATATTTCATACTTATATCTCAGAGAAATGAATGGAAATTTTATTAAACTACCTATCTGATTGCATTGATTTTATAAACTTTCATTGACCCCTTACGCTTACCTTCCACATGCTATCTGGGTCACTCTACTCCCAGCAAGCTCAGTCACCAAACAGGGTCTTAGTTCATTCTGTCTTGAATTGTGACCAAGTTGCCCATATTTGCCAGCACCAAAAGTAAACACCAGCCCATCCTAAGGAAAGGGAACTTCATGTCAGATTCTAGAGAAATACAGCACAGATGTAATAAAAGCATTGTCAAAGTAAAGCTCCCAAATAACCAGAACAGTCCTGCATGTGGAAGTGACAATCTTTCTTCTCTGGGTAACACTAACTCCCTATACAAAGCGTTCTTTCAGAAGTACAGTCAAGAAGAGACAAGGATACACCCACCTGTGTGAGCAAGGCCGTGTGAGAGCCCCCACAAGCGAGAAATTCAACTTTCTGATTGTCTAGTGCTTCAATAAGCGAAGGAGAATCTTTACCTGTGACAGGGAAAGAACAGCTGAAGTGACCAAAAAGAAATGCCAAGATTCACACTGGAGTAACCCAGACCGGACTGCTTCCTCTTAACCTAGCAACAACAGTTCCCATCACATTCTGACAAGACAGGCTCTAACACTGGGATATTTAGGCCCAAGTTCTAGACCTAATGTGGGGGTAGGGCAGTGGCAAAAGGTTCATACGTAGGGGCACCCACCCACGAAAGGGTCAAGCAGCTTCCCAAATCCCATCGTTCTCTTTTCAACCTGACCTGATTAACTTTAATTGCAATACATCTGGTATTTCCAATTCTTGTCTAGAATTACTTTTAATGAATATAGATTCTTTTTTTCTTTTAAATTCTTTACCACAATGTCCTTGCCTTGTACCACCTCTTCTTTCCTTCACGATTATTTTCCTATTAAAGCACTCAGAGATTCAGCATAAATAGTTTAATGACATCTCTACTCTTTCCTCTCTTTTGAATATTTTTCTTACACTGACTTATGGGTTAGCTGCATGATTAGCCTTGGACCGTGTCAGGGAGAAAGGTAGTGTTTGAGCAGTGATCCAGTATAAGGTGCACATTACCACAGCTGGGTAAAGCGGCACTTTGTTATCCTGAAAACTCTAATAAATTGTTTGGAATCATGAGAAATTTTGCCATCTGCTTTGTGGAGGTAGTTCAATAATGGGAATTACATGGTTTTTCGTGTGTGTGTGTGTGTATGTACAGATATAATTGACATCTTATAGAAAGGGTGAGGATATCTAAGTTTCTAAACAGAATTCTAGTATTCTTTGGGAATAATATATTAATAGACTTTAAGTGCAAAGCACGTTTTGAGGTCATCTCATCCAAACTTATCACTTTACAGAAAAAGAAAATAAGGCCTAGAGGAAAGTTAAGTGATTGGGCAAAGCCATACAGTTAGTAGACTGCGAAGTTGGAATCGGAATCCAGGTATTCTGATCCCTAATCCAATGCTTTTTCTGAGTTCCCACACAGCCCTGAAACATGTCTCCATTATAGTAATGACCCCACACTATGCATGTCCCTTGGACTGATTCTGCCCTGAAGACAGAGATAATCAGGAAGAATGGTGCAAAGAAAGTGAGGATCTGAACCATTTCTGACAGGGAGGTCCATGTTCAAATCATCTCTTATCTAACAAATACATTTGTTAATAATATGAACTTGAAAATATGTTCCATACTGTCAGTGTGGCCCAGGCCAAGTTGTCCAAGATCATTTTTTCCCCATGAGTAAATGTTTCCAGATATGGATAAGGCCATGCTGTGGGCTTCTCCTGCAGAAATCTGAACCAAGGGGACTCCGGCGAGGTCTTCCACAATCTGTGGTGTGGGGGTTGAGGGAAATATCCCTCCAACTCCGAGCTGGCCGTGTTCGTTATGTCCCCAGGCAAAAAGCTCACCACCTTGACATAAACAAAGAAAATGCTGTCGTCTTAAGTTTAAAATGCAGTAGACATTACCCTAGGACATCATGTATACTATACATTGTAAAATATCAGTCTCTTAAATTCACACTGATAGGACTGTCAGATCCCAAATGTATGACTCAGAAAAACAGAGAAGAATCTACTCTTTAGCAATAACAGTTATCCTTCCTTACCCCCATCTCAAACAGTGAAGAGATAAGGAAGTATATAAGAAACGAAGCTGTCTGAACACATTATAAACAAACTCAAGAAATAATTACCTTAAAACCCATAGTATGGGCCCATAAAAAACAGAAACACTTTGGAAAAATAAAACCTACAACTACCATTTTCTCTATCTTTCTCTCTTTCATGTGCCTAAAGACCCCAAATAAACAACTTAAAAATTCATTTGAAATTACAGCACAGTATCTTGAAAGAGTCAGTTTCTTCTGCCATGAATTGAATATATGGAGTATATTTTTCAAGAAAAGTTCTTATATGTTATCTAATGGAGCTGACAATATCTAATGGAGCCTGAAAAAAAATACATAAGAGAATTAATGTTTGCTGAGCACCCCTTTGCAAGATGCTGTGCAGGATCCAGTGGGAGGCAAAGCCCCTCCTTCTAACAGAATTATCATGAGCCTACCAGCCACCAGGAATATGATGACGGGCATGTTGCTTCCCCAACTTTTATTCGTTCTGTATTCTTATTTACCAATAATAAACTCTAAACATCCCCTTCCCCCGGCACCCACACACCACTAGACCCTAGGCTTCTTGAAAGCAAGTGTATCTGTTTTATCTTCATCAACTGAACATGGTACATGCTCAATATGAAATATTTGCTCATGAATGGATGAAGTCAAATGACCGATTTTTTTTCCAATACAAGTTCATACTCTGAAACCTCAACAGGGCTTTCACTGCATGTCAAATACTTGCTTATTTACTTCCCTTGAATCCCAACATCCATTCGGTTTACGAACATGTCTACATCTGTCCTATATACTTAAAAAATTCCCTTGACCCTGAATTCCCCTCTATCACCCTCCTGTCTTAATTATTTCTTTAACTGCTTTCATTTCCCACCTCTATGTTGTCTGACAGGAAACAGGATATAATGAAGGGCCAGGGAGAATCCTTGAATTCAAAACGTAACGTTAAAACACATCAGAAGCCTGCAACCTGGCCACAAAAGCAGACCCAGGGGATTCTGAACTACTGCCATGGGAGGAGGTGGAAGAGTGCTAGGAAAAAAGGAGGTGGTTCTGGAAAAGTGTGGCAAGGCCTGGAACAGATTCCAGAGAGAATGATTTGATTATTCAGAAAAGTTTCACTATTTTGTACTGAAAAAATAAAAACATGGAACAAAATGCAGGAATAGTAATTATGGAAACCTGTAAGATTTTATAGATACAAGAGTTCTCTCTCATTTTGTATCTCCTTTGTGAACAGTACTCTGAACAATTTCATATTCAAAACCATATTTCTGTCCTGTTACTGAGAAAAGTACATACATTCTACTGGCTCTCCATATGCACACATTTACTACTTTTTAAAAATAACTAATATTCCAAAAAAAGTACCTTTTGAGAGTGCAAGAGAATGATGATCTCCACATGCGATCTGTATTATAGTTTTTTCTTGTAAAATGCTTTGAAACCTTATGGAAGAAAATATATTTTATGTCAGTCACTATAATGAAAGTCACAACATGGTTGTGAGAACTATTTAACTGTATTAGCTGTATTTAATTAGGAATGAAGCTCAAGAAAAAAAATTTAAATTTATTGCTTCACATTCAGTACACCTAAAATTATAAAAAATACTATATGTTTTAATTAGTGGTTTAAGAAGAAAATAATGCACATTATATAATTGTAAAAAAATTGATCTAAAATACTCTTATGTAAATAATTTTATAATACAGAAATAAATGTAAGATGAAGATAAATTCTAATTCATATGATCAACTAGGAAGAAGTCTCAAAAATCATTCCATGATGATGCTTTTTATTCTAGCTTGAAAACTTTTATTTGTGGAAATTTAACTTATAGGATTATGAGGATCAAATGTGTTAATGAATAAGAAAGTCCAATTTAGGGCTAGGTGGACTAACCAATCATTACCTTTAAATGCCAAGAAAACACATGATACCTGCCCTAAGAGACATACTGGTTTGCAGTAAACTGATGAACTTCACTAGGCAGTTCAGAATTCATCATTTACTTAAGATGCTACTATATAAAGCAGGAGACACAAATCATATATGGTAACATTTTCCTACAAAAATTATTACTGCCCTTTGATTAAAATTAATTTTTAATGAAAGAAAAAGACATTCCCTACCTTGCATGTTCTATGCTATAGTTGTACTCAAATGGTTTTCCATCTGAGGATAGAATCAGCATGTGCTCTGCTCCTTGGTCCATGGAATGTATCTTCATTTTTTTTCCTAACTTAATGCACTCTGCAGAGCAAATCCAACCAGGAACTATCATCACTCAGATTATTACCCACTATTATTATTGATTTCATTATAATACACTTAAAACATCTGGGAAAAAATTTTAACTAGACAACCTTTCATTTAACATTAATTTTTCTTTAAGAAAATTCGAGTATGCAAAGCAAATTAGGAATGACAATTGTTAATTTAGAAAAGCACTGGTCAACACTTTCTTTTATATGGAATACACCCATAACATAGCCAATTAAATATCTGCTTTTAGGTTCTTGTTTAATTAGTTGAGACAGAGAAACTAAATTTGAAATGACAGAAATGAAAAGGTCTATAAAAAAGTGTAACTTAACTTTAGGACAAGATAACTCCTTTCAAGAACAAATATATTGTGTATCCTGAGACATATTCTTTCCAAAAAACAAAACAAATAACAATAATAAACACCTCCCGACTGCTCTCAGTAAAAGCAAATACCTGTATTCCTAAAAAGTAGGATTGTGTTTGGGAGACGATTTTTAAAGATGATGCTGTTAAAATAATTTTTACTGGTATTAGTGAATATTTAGCCTTTCCTAAAAGTTAAGATTTGAAATTGTCCACAAGTTACTATTTACTCTTATTTAATTCACAAAAATTAAAACTAGAATAGCTCTGGGACCTTGTTTCACTCTTCAGTTCTAATGAAATAGAATCTATTCATGTAAAAATCTCAAAGCACAAATCATATTACAAATGCTAGGGGAACCAAAATTGTTTGGTAATAAGAAATGGCCCGGGGCGGCCCCGTGGCTCACTCGGGAGAGTGCGGCGCTGAGCGCCAAGGAGGCCGCGGGTTCGGATTCTGTATGGGGATGGCCGGTGTGCTCACTGGCTGAGCGTGGTGCAGACCACACACACTGTGCCGAGGGTTACGATCCCCTCACCGGTCACAAAAAATAAAAAAGAAAAGAAAAAAATGGATAACCGTTCAAACTCTGCACAGCAAAAAACCACATCAACAAAAGGCAAGGTGAGAAAAATAGTACAACATATATGTTAAACAAAAGGCTACTCTCATTCAATACTCAAATACCTCTTTCAAAAGTAAAAAGATGAGCAACTCGATTTTTTTAAAACCAGGGAAAGACCTGCACAAGCAGCTTACCGAAAAAGGAATGCAAATAACCAATAGAAAACTGAAAAGGTGCTTGACTTCACTTGTTAAGGGAAAAACAAGTAACAGTAAGATACCATTTACTTCATTCCACAGATGGGCAAAATTTTAAAGATTAATTAACACGGGGAATTTACTTTCCTCCACCTGTAAAATTGGAACCACAGTACCTACGGAGCCTAGGATCTGGCAGAAGCGCGCGTGAAAGCCAACGCAAGATACTTCCACCGAGAACAAGACGACTGCACCCTCTAAAGGGTCACAAAATCAAGGCAGGTACGTTCTTCAAAGGAGTACGTGGGGGTGGGGGACCAGCTCTGATCAATTCTCAAGGAGGACTGACTAAGGTGAAGATGCTGCCTATATGCTCCGCGCCCAGTAGGGACAGGGATAATGGAGGAGTCAGGTGCGCACGACGAAACCTGGAAACGACCCGGACAAGGCGCGAGTCTGCGGCCACCGCGGACCGCCGCAGCGCCAGCTACCCTTCTGTGCGCGCCTTCCCGCTCAGAGAAGAGAAAGACCGCACACCGCCAACTCGCGCCACTGTGGGAAGGAGCGTCGAGGCCCGTCCGGGTCCCGGCCCCGCCGGCGCTGCAGGCGTGAATCCCCGGCCGCCCACCCTTCGCACGCCAGCCTGAGGCGAGCGGGCCGAGCGGGCGCTGCTCCACTCACTCGGCTTCCTGGCGTCGCCGCTCCGGGCGGGCAGCTGGTGGACCTCGACA